GAAATTCCAAGAAGCGTCAATCCTTCCTTCCAACTCTGTTGTAGACACAGCCAAGCAGAGGTATCTGTGGGACGGTCCCACATCTAGAGTATGATCTCAGTGGAGCGCCGCTGCAGTGGATCACAGCTGTAGGCATCGCCGGCCACCGGGGAGTACTTGCCGCCGCGCTTTGTCCTCAGCGCTGGCAATGTGGTCGTGTTGGTGGTGATGCCATTGCGTGTGGTCACCGCCAAAGTTTGCTTGGCACTGATGAAAGTGGGCGCCGGCGTTAGGGTGGCCGTGGAGCTGTCGTTGCTGCCGGTGGCAGCGACTGCAACGGCTGGACGTGGCAGCTGCGGCGATGCGAGCGGTGTGCGCCGCTTGACTGGCGTCTCCTGCAGCACCGCCGATTTGCGTATCGTTTGCTGCAGCAGCGCATTGACATCGATCGCTGGCCAGGCGACCAGCGAAACGCTTCGTCATAAGTGCGTGTCCAGCGGCGATGAGCTGCGCTTGAGTCTTATGTGCTTGCTCCAGTGCTTATTGTTGCTGTTGTTTCGGCTGCTGGCGCTGCCGCTGCTGCTGCACTGCGGCGTCTCCACTTTGCCCTCAGCCGTTGTCGCTGCCGCCGTCGCTGACGCTGGCAGTGGTCCACCCACCGCGGAGGATAGCGAAAAGTATTCGGCGGATTGACTAAGGGACGAGGCGTCCGCATCGGTTATGCCATCCACATCATTGTCGGCCAGGTCGCTGCGCATCGTGTGCTCCTGGGTGCTGAGGGGCGTCAGCGTGCTGCTGTGGCCCTCCTCCTGCGTGGGCGTGCTTTGGATTGTGTGATCTGCGGCTGTGCAGAAGGATTCACGCTGTCCCGTTGTCTCGTCCTCATCGTCCTCCTCCTCACCCTCGTCGCCGGCAAAGTGCTCGTCGTCGTCGCCGTCGCTGCACTGGCCGCAGCAGCAACTGTTCGTGTGACAGGAGCAGAAGCTCTTCAGGCTGCTGCGCCGGCTGTTCGGCTGCTGCTCGGCCATGCAGCGATGGCAGTCGACGGCGACAGTCAGCTCCCGGGCCTCGTGGTCGTCGTCCAGGCTGCTGCACGAGCTGGTGCGCGCCTGATCGCAACTGCAGCTGGAGCACCGCGAGCAGCTGCTGCAGTAATCCTGCATGGCGTCGGGCACAAAACGCTTGCGTTTAATCCGGACGTTCCGTGGCGGCGCAGCGCCGGCAAGGGCGCGTGCTGTGCTGCTCGAGCTGCTGCTCGGCTGTATGGCCGTCGACGGCGTCAGATGCTCTTCATCCTCCGGCTGCACGCCCATGCGCACATCGTCATCATCGTCGTCCTCGTCGTCGTCGTCATCTTCGTCGTCGCGCGACAACTCGTCCGTCTCAATGGTGGTGTTGGAGTTGAGTGAGCCGCGTCGTCGCTGGCGGTGGTGCTCGGAGAGCGGCAGCAGATTAATGGGCGCGCCGCCACCCTCGCTGGCCACCTTGTACGGGAAATTGGAGGTGGCCGTGCTGCTGTTGTTCTCCGTGACGGTGGCCGCATCGATCTCAATCGCAATCGCTGCCGAGTGCAACTGCGCCCGACTTCGCGCTGCATCCTCGCTCGAGTCCAGGGAAGACTTGGTGTTGTTGTTGTGGTTGTGCTGGCCCTTGCTGGCTGGAAGCGGACTGTGCGCGGAATGCAACTTGGACTGCTTCGAGTGCTGCGACTGATGCGACGGCAGCTCCTGTTGTTGCAGCCGATGCGGCCGCTGGCGGCGCTTCCCAGTGCCATAGTGATGATGGTGGCAGTGGTGGTGGCAATGGTGATGATGCGTCGTCGTCACATGACAATGACAAACAGTGGCCGAGGCGGCTACTGCTGCCGCGGCAGCAGCGGCGGCACAGCAGCAGCGCTGCGCCGACGTCTGTGTGGCATTGTGACGCTTGCGCCGCTGGCAGCAGCTGCCACGCCCATGGATGTGCTCGTGGCCGCCATAGATGCGCGTCCTGCCCGGCCCATTGCTGAGCCGCGCACTGGGCGTATGCACGATGACCACTTCGAGGGCATCGAGGGCGACGGCCACGGCATTCGCTGTCGCGGCGTTGTTGTTGTTGTTGTTGCTGTTGCTGCTGCTGGCATTATCGTGCCGGCTCTGGCTCTTGCCGCTGCCGCCGGGCCGCGGCAGCAGCTTGTTGTTGTTGTGGTACTGGAAGGCGCGATTGTCGTGGCACTGGCCAAAGTCCAGAGCCTTGAAGTGCTCATCGTCGGCGCGTGCTGTCAGCAGGTGATCGTCGCCGCTGCTGCTGAGAGTTATGGGCAGCGACAGTTGTCGCTCCTCGGAATGCGATATGCACAGATCGTGTTGTTGTTGTTGTTGTTGTTGATGTTGTTCTTGTTGCTGTTGGTGGTGGTGGTGTTGCTGCTGCTGTTGTAGTTGTTCTTCGGGGGCAAACTGCTAATCGCCGCGCCTCAAGTCGCGCGGCTTCGTGTTGTTCCGATAGATCCACACCTGCAGCAGGATGGCAATGTCCAGGCTGACCTGCATATAACACACAATAGTTCAGAATTAGGCTAGGGCCAGGCATACAGTAGGTTAAAGTATATATTAGTATTCATAAATTATTAGCCGCATTTTCCTCAGCGGGGCACGGATGAACTAGAGAATAGGCAATAGGATTTGATTGTGTTTCAGTTCTTGGTGTGAGCTATGGATGAGTAGTTACTTTATAACTATAGTTGTTTATAAGAAGTAATGAATATTAATTTTCTGTCTAACTGTTCTTCTAGACTATTTTCTAAACTCAGCTCAACATTCCGTTGAAATTTGAAAATACTTTATGGATTCTAACAGAATTGTATACCTCAAATTTTATTTCATGCCTCACAAGCAAGGGATTTTACGATATAACTAAAAAAAATTTAATAAAGAATATTGTGATGAGATCATTTGTGGCAAAGTGGCTCATAAGATTTATGCATGCCACAAACTTATCTCAAATATACTAGATCTATAAACTAGATAGGCACAAAGCATACATTTTTACATACAAGATCTATCTATATCTATATACATAGACTACACTAGATATGTATGTATGTATATAAACAGACTAGACAAGACAAAGATTTTATTTAATTTATTTCTACTCAGTTGTTCAGCTTGTTTAATTTTTTAGTTTTTGTTGATATTGCTTTACTATTTTGCACTCTACAAAATACTGCTAATTATTTAGAAATCTTGTATATATTTTATCTCACATATTCTTCAAAGGCAAACAATAAATTCTCCGAGACTTAATGGCAATTCAAAGCTCGTTTAATGGTTTCTGCGAGGGCCTCAAGTATTTCAAGCATGAAAGTGCAATCGAACGTGACGCAAACACGTAGCAGACTTTTGCCAATTGCGAGAGCTTTTT